AGCTTCAGGTTCATCTGCCTCCTGCAGTCCCCAGCCAGAGTAAGGAATGCATCAAACTCTGCTCTTTCCCCTTGCTCCCCAACGAAGGGGAACAGCCAGCAATGTTCCCGTACGAACTGGGGGAGGGGCTTCAGTGTGCCCCCAGTCTGCCCCTTTAACTTAGTTGGTGATTCTGTTTCTTTTCTCTCTGGTTTTCTGAGAAGCAATCCCATTCCAGGCACACCCCATTTTCCTGGCACAATCAAACCCTACCTTGCCTTAAGTTACGATAAGAAGAAACTACGCACCAAATTTCATGCATGGTCCTAGTTCTTAACCTTTAGTAGAAGTTCTTGAACAGACAGACAGACATACACACACAGACAAATTATCTCAAATATATAATAGATACTAGACTGCATATCTGAGAAAAATTAAATTTATCTTCTCACAATTACTTTTAACCACAATTTATTTAGGCAGTTACCTTTTAAAAATACAAGAAATGTTTCTCAGTGGGAAAAAAATTCCATAACAGGATTTTTTTAAATGGTGTCCTTTTTTAAAAAAAAATAGGAAAATTCTATTTGTTTTTTCAAAACCAGAAATATAAGTGGATCTGAAAGTTCACATGCTTTATAAACACTGCATAGTTCACTCTTTTAAGGGGATAAATTAAGGTTCCCGACTTGGAGGAAAGGCTTTTTAAAAATCTTTACTGGCCTCCGGTGCTTTCTACTTATATCTATTTTGAACTTGTGGGAAAAAACTAGTCATGCCATAACAAGCTAGTTCCCATGTATTCCTAACATATTTTTATAAGGCTTCTAAAATCATTTGCTGCCCTAATGAGCAACCAAAACAGTATTTAATCTTTGTTGTGCTTAATAAAATTATATGTTCATATTAATATTCATAACAGTATTGCACTAATACTGCAAATGGAGAGAAACTGGTTGAGAATTTGAAAATGGAAGGCAGCTTGAGCAAAAGTGATCATGAAATGGCAGAGGGAGTGGTAGAAAGGAAAACAGCACAATAAAGATAACAGATTTAAAGTGGGCAGACTTTAGTAAACTCATGGAATTGGTAGGTAAGATACCATGGGAAGCAGGACTAAGGAAAAATACTATTCAAGAGAATTGGCAGTTTTTCAAAGAGACATTATTAACGGCACAAGAGCAAACTATCCCACTGTGTAGGAAACTAGGAACTATGGCAAGAGACCACACTGGATTGCCCAGGAGATCTTCAATTATTTGAAACTAAACAACAATAATTAAAAAAAAAGAGTCCTATAAAAACTAGAAACTAGGTCAATATTTATGAACAAACTAAGAACCAAGAACGAATATGAAAAAAAGCAGAAAAACCAAGGGAAAAACTAGATTAAACTAGGTACAGATATCAAAAGTAAAAAGAAAACATTCCACAAATACATTAGAATCAAGAAGAAGACCAAAGACAGGGGAGGCCTATTACTCAATTGGGGACAGATTTGTAACAGAAACATGGAAATAACAGGAGTGCTAAATGATTTTTTGTTTCAGTTTTCATCAAAAAGATTAGTAGTGATTGGATGCCTAACACAGGGAAATGCCAGTGAAAATGAGGTAGGATCAGAGGCTAAACTTGGGAAAGAACAAGTTATAAATTACTGAAACAAGCTAAATGTCTTCAACTCACCAGGGCTTGACGAAACACATCTAAGACTATTCAAGGAGCTGAGGAGATTTCTCAGCCATTAACAATTATCTTCAAAAAGTCATTTAAGACAGGAGAGATTCCTGTCTTAAAAAGGAAAAAAGGAAATACAGTGCCAGTCTATAAAAAGTGAAATAAGGACAACCTGGGGAATTACAAACCTATCAGGTTAACTTCAGTACCTGGAAAGATAATGGAGGAAATAAATATGCATTCCATTTGCAGCCACTTAGAATCACAGAGCTGGAAGAGACCTCAGGAAGTCATCAAGTCCAGTCCCCTGCCCAAGGCAGGACCAATCCCAACTAAATCAACCCAGCCAGGGCTTTATCAAGCCGAGACTTAAAAGCCTCTAGAGATGGAGATTGCATCACCTCTTTAGGTGACCCATTCCAGTGCTTCACCACCCTCCTAGTGAAATAGTTTTTCCTAATATCCAACCTAGACCTCCCCCACTGTAACTTGAGACCATTGCTCCTTGTTCTGCCATCTGTCACTACTGAGAACAGCCTCTCTCCATCCTCTTTGGAACCTCCCTTCAGGAAGTTGAAGGATGCTACCAAATCCCCCCTCACTCTTCTTTTCTGCAGACTAAACAAACCCAAATCCCTCAGTCTCTCATCATAGGACATGTGCTCCAATCCCCTAATCATTTTGGTTGCCCTCTGCTGGACCCTCTCCAAAGATAATAAAATGTAATTAACAGTCAGCATGGATTTGTCAAGAACAAATCGTGTCAAACCTACCTAATTACTGTCTTTGACAAGGTAACAAGCCTTTTGGATGAGGAAGAAGCAGTAGATATGGTGTATGTTGACTTTTGTAGGCCTTTGATACTGTTCCTCATGACAATATAACCTAGATGCAGTTGGATAACGTGGATGCATAACTGGTTGGAAAACCATTCCCGGAGAGTAGTTATTAGTGATTTCACAGACAAAATAGAAGGACATAATGAATGGGGTCCCACAGGGATCAGTTCTGGATCTGATTCTGTTCAATATCTTCACCAGTGATTTAGATGCACAGAGAGTAGTTATAAAGTCTGCAGACCATACCAAGCTCTAGGGGTTGCAAGTGCTTTGGAGGACAAGATTAAAATTCACAATCATCTGGACAAAATGGAGAAATGGTCTGAAGTAAAAAGGATGAAATTCAATACGGAGAAATGCAAAGTACTCTATTTAGGAATCAGTTGTTGTAACAATCAGTTGCACACGTACAAAATGGGGAAAGCCTGTCTAGGAAGGAATACTGCAGAAAGGGATCTGAGGATTATAGTGGATCACAAACTAAATATAAAAAACCAAACAAACATCATTCTGGGATGTAGTAAGAGGAGTGTTGTAAGCTAGACATGAAAATTACTTCTTTCCTTATAGTCTGTGCTGATTAGGCCTCAGCTGGAGTATTGTGTTGAATTCTGAGTGTCACATTTCAAGAAAGATTTGGCAAACTGGAGAAAGTCTAGAGAAGAGCCAAAAAATGACTAAAGATTTACAAAACATGAGCTATAAGGGAAGACTGAAAAAGTTGGATGTTTAGTTTGGCAAAGAGAAGATGGAGAGGTGATATGATAATAGTTTTCAAGTGCATAAAAGTTTGTTACAAGAGGTGGGAAGTAAATTATTCTTATTAACCTCTGAAGACAGGACAAGAAGCAATGGGCTTAAATTGCAGCAAGGATGGTTTAGCTGGAACATTAGGAAAAACTTTCTGTTTGGATAAGTAAACACCTCCCATCTGGGTAGGTAAGCACTGGAATAAAGAAAGTTGTAAAATCTCCATCACTGGAGATTTTTAAGAACAGGTTATACAAATACCTGTTGGGATGATCTAGAGGCAGAACTGGATTAAGACATGCTGAGGTCCTAAACTATGTCAAGTTGAAGAGGCCCCATAGCATTACTAGAAAACTGTATATTATTCTAACAGAAAGAACAATTAAAATAGAAATAATAAAGTTTTATATCTGCATATACACCGGTACATAGGCAAGGATGCAACTAAAAACTAGTAATTGTTTTGTATTTAGAGACCTCTCATTATCTGAAGCACTAAAATGCAGCTTTCTTATCTTGTGCATAAATCTGGCACTGTCTAAGGTTTTTGGTCCTGCCATGAGTGCAGAGGACTGAACTGGAACACCTCTTGAAGTCCCTCCCAGTCATAAGAACTATGATTTCTGATTCTATTGGAGGCTGTATTTACTATTGCAAAAGGAAATAAAAGGAAATAATGATGAATGTTACATTTTCACAATTTATATTTTAAAAGACTGTCAGAACCAGAGTATCTGTGCAGAAATCAAATTTTAAATATTAACTTAGACCCTAAATGTAAATGTAACATTTTAGCGTTAATATACTGATATTTTAAAAATTTGTTTTACTATTTTTGATGTATAATTGTCAGTTGGAAATCAGTTTAAATACATTTAAAGAAATGAAAGAGACTAATTAGCTCAGGATTTGGTAACAAGGTACACTGTCTTTCATTCCTATGAAACCAATTCATATCCAGCCTAGGATGATAGTAATCAAAAAAACATTACTATCTGAAAGCTGGTTGACATTAAATGAACAGAGTGCATGAGGGTACACATCACAGTATCCAGGACCCACAACCAACACTTGTCTAGAAGTTCAACACAGAGATATCAAAGTTTGGACAGGAAAAGGGAAGAATGATGACAGAATGCTGAAAGAAAATTGCCAAGTTGTTCATGCCTTAAAGCAGTTCTACAAACTTAAGACTCGAGTAAGAAGTATCTTCAGATTCTAAAAACAGCTATTTTAAAACTTCACCTTTTTGACCCACTTTGCCCCCCAATGAAATCTATCAACAGTATCCAGCCATAGTTATCTTCCTATTTTGTTCTGTTCCTATACATGATTAGCTAAAAGAGATCACAACGTAACAAACCCTGGTACCAAGCTGTGGTAATATAACTAACTAAATGACTACCAATTCTAATCACAACAAAACATGGCAGGTGAAATGTACCTATTTGTCATACAGAACATTTTTCACAAAGGAAGTAATCTCTGTTCTGTAATTTTGGTGTTAGATGAAATCATATAATATGTATGCGTATGTGAGTATAGAGAGAGTCAGTCAAACTTAAGAATTTTTACATATAAAGAAAATATATTCTTAAAAAGGAAAAAGAACATTTACTCTTTACATGTAAAATCACATAAGTTAGGCACCAGGCTAACTGTATTTCCTGGTAGGGCCTAAGTCATTTCTAGTATCAAATGTAAAGTAAAAATAATGTCCACCATTTTTCATTTTATCATTGTACTTGACCCTACCTTTTATGGACAAAGGAATGGATTGTGTGCATTCTGTGTGTTTCCACTGGCCTCGGTGTTTACGAGCGTCTAAGTAGTGCTTGACTCTTGAATCAACAGTGTCTTTTAGCAGCAAGCACACTTCCTGAAACAGAAATCAGTTGCAAATTTACAAATAAATCTACACAACCCTAAAAATTAATATCAAAACACTAAAAAATGTATGCAGAAACCTATTCTTTGCAAATGTATGGACTTCTATGGAAGTTCTTATGTTCTTAAATTTGCATTGTCATATTTTAAGGAATACTGGAAGTATACATAAATGGGGAAAGTAACAGTAAAATTGCAACATAGGTTAGAAAAATAGGTTTTTTAGGTAATTTTTTTGAAGAATGAAAGGTAAAATCACTAAATTACAGTGGTGTTGTAAAATATGACACATGGTATTGATGAGTAATTTCTATAATTTGTGAAAACTTTACTGTGAAAATTCACAACTATGCACCTGAAATGAACATATTAGAACATAAGAACGGCCGTACTGGGTCAGACCAAAGGTCGTTCTAGCCCAGTATCCTGTCTGCCGACAGTGGCCAGCACCAGGTGCCCCAGAGAGGGTGGACCGAAGACACAATCAAGCGA